AAAATTTATCAGGGAAACCAGCAACTTCCCTACGTCATGCCTTCCTACTCTTATTCTATTCTATAGAGTAACCACTGTCAACACTGGGCTGTTTCTCCACATTCCTACACAAGGTGATTATAGGATTATTTCTTGACTTTCCAATTTTACACATTATCTATGGATTTCCTATTGTGGAAAATGAAGATTTAGCTTTGTAATTCAGCTCCCATATACACACACACAACCATGCTTCTCGACTCCTATGCCCATCTGCCCAATTACTTATTTCAAAATTTTTGCTTAAATCCATATTTAGTGTTTATATTACTTTTTTTGGTAAGTAGTGTTAGCCTAGCCACTTGGTCTATTATGCGGGATGAGCTCTATCTCCAAAGTGCTTTCCCATACTAGCATTTGGGGAAGAACAGTGTGAGAGTTCTTAATGAAAAAACTGTAGAATATTAATCATATGTGACCAAAAGCTAGTTTTCCATCAAGTACAATAAACAAAGCTTTTGCAATTCTCACCCCACAGGAAATGAGGAAAAGGGGGTGAAATGGGGTGAGGTGGGGTGAAGGGGAGACACTACCATTCTACTGAAGTTATAGATGTAGATGAGATATGTTACTTTCTAGCAAGCAAACTGCCTTGATAAGATAAACAATGACTATGGAGATATGAAAAAGTGTATCAAAGATTAAGGTTGACTGTTCCTGACCAGGAGGTACCATACAAAGTAAATGATGGAGCAAACTTTTAAAATGAAAGGAACAAATGATGAGATCCAACTTTTAAAATAAAATGAGTAACTCGTAATGTACCTTGTATAATTTAAGCTTGACAAAGTATTGGCTTTTACTATTAAAGTCTTATCAAAAAAAGAAATCAGTGAATAAATTAAATGTCACTCTAGATAGGCTTAAAATTTTCCCAAAAAGTAGAATTTCAAGAAACCATATTCTACACTTTAGCCATTTGTTTCTAAAATTTTCAGGCAAAAGAGCATGGTTAATGGTTAAAAGCAGAGATAACACTGCTAAATATTTCAACTTGAATTCTGTATTAGTGGGCACTGTCTCATTTAATGAGATAAATAAATGAGATAATGTATATAAAGTGCACAGTATTTGACACATGGTGGTGACTGCTTAAGTATAAATTCCAGGATGCTATAATTTGTGCTCCCTTACTTATGAAATTGAATCTGCCACTTACTTACAGTATCTTCTTGGGCAAATCATTTAACTTCTCATTTATAGATTAATCCTCATCTATAAAATGGTGATGATGGAGTAGCTATCTCATATTATTATGAAATTAAATGAATAATACATGCAAAATAATTAAAAAGAGCACAGAGTAAGCGCACAAGTAAATAAAGTAGCCTATGTAAGTGCTAGTCACTAATACTATCATTTCTTCTTTGTAAAATGGAGAAAACAGCTCAAGGAATTTTAAGGATTAGTGATAACATAGTAAAAGTAAATTGCATTGCACCTGCCTGGCCTGTAGCAAAAAATACACACCCGTAGTAATTTTCATTCTAAATACCATGAATTCTCACAAAGTACAAAGGAACAAAACCTTAGCAAAAACAGGGCTGCATGCTACCCTGGCTGTAGAATATCGAGAAAGTTGACTGAACCTTTGAAGCCTTCCCCTTCCATGTATATGGACAATACCTTGTGTAACTAAAACTCAGGCAAAGCTCCCTGAGAAAGCGAACAGTACTAGGCTGTACATGAGTGCCAGATAAGTGGTATAAACTGTGCGGTATGTGTTTAAAGGGCTCTCTGGGCTGAGGGAGAGAATGGGAGGCTCTAGAATCGTGGGTACTTAACAAGTTTAAGAACATAAAAAAGAATGAAATGTTGCCATCTGCAACAACATGGACGGATGTGGAGGGTATAATACTAAATGATTTCACTCATGTGTAAATTAAGACAAAACACCAAATGATTTCACTCATATGTGTACATTAAGAAAAAGAACAAAGAAAAAAAAGAGAGAAACCAAAAAACAGACTCCTAACAATACAGAACTGGTAATTACTAGAAGGGCAGTGGGGAGGGGGCAGGGGTGAAAGAGGTGCAGGGGGTTAAGAGTACAGTTCCCGTGAGGAGCACCGAGTCATGTACAGAACCGCTGAATCACTATATTGTACACCTAAAACTAATCCAACTGTATGTTAACTAACTGGAAATTAACATTTTTTTAAAAAAAGGTTAAAGTATGAGGCAAGGCAACCAAATAGGAGGCAGATCCTGGAGATGGTGAATCAGTCACCTATCTGGCTAGAAGAAAGGAGGGACAGAAGGGAAGAAGGGATTCTGAAGCAGGCGTTTGGGGTGGGGAGTAGTTACAAGACAAGATGAGAAAGGCCTTTATTATAGAAGACCTTCCTTGAAAGACAATAACACTGAAGTTTTAATATTATTATATAAAACTATATACATATTTTATCTTTGCCCCATTCTTACATGATTGAGTTTTACTGAACAAATTTAATTATTCTAACAAAGAAGAATATAGTTCATGTTGAGTATCAAAAAGAAATAGAATGAAATATATACAACTATAATTCACTTCTCAACTGCATTAGGATTCTCCTTTAGCTTATGGACCAGAAGGTAAGGAGGTTTTCCCATTTTAACATATGTACCATCTCAAAATTTAATTCTGCTTAATAACCTCGAGAGATAATTTTTTCTGTAAACAATGGAATCTTGAGTCGGACAGGATCCCAGGAAATTATCTTGTAAAAGTATACAATTTAAAAGGTTAGAGAAAAGCCTGTTGCCCAGTAAACTCCTTTATTAGACTTCTCTTCCATCTACCTATTTCTTAAAACCAAACCTTGATGACAAACAAAATTCTTTACACAAGTCCCGTTAGTCCCAAAGTGGAAAGACGACCTTGTTCACCGCTGTATCCTAAATACTTAAAAAAAAAGTGTAGGCCAAATAGTAGACGCTCAGTAAATATTTGCTGCAATAAATCTCCGTCCATCAGAAAATGCCTAGATTTTGAAGACTATAAAAAGTGGCATCTGTCTGTCCGAACAAGTGTTTCCCTTACCCTCAGTTGTAAGTTCATGCTGCTACAGTACTTGTTTGAAAACTCAAAATTTGTTCTAATGCAATTGATATAATAGGGAACAATCTGAGCATTAAGTGAATTTTGCGGTGATTTTGCCACCAAGAAACACTAGCTGAACACAGAAAAACCATACTCAGCTGAAACAAGTTGTATGAGAACACACAGAATGTAAATATGAACACACTTTAAACATCTGCCAGCCACCTCAGCCCACCCTACCTCTGCACGGTCGCACCTATCCACACCCTGTGTTACAACTTTCCTTCTGATTTCAGAAAACACTTCCTTGACCACTTCACAATAAAAAACTGCCACATCTATGCTCATTTCCATAAGCAAACTTCAGAATTTTTTCAAAGTACATTTGTTTGCATATTGTATACACTCGAGTACATATTTCTTAACCATTTAACCTGTGTAAAGCTACTGTCATTTTTTTAAGGTTCCTATCTTTAATGTTCTCTGATAAAGTTTTTGAGTGTTGCATCCCAAATTCTGCTTTTTCCATAAGCCCTGTGGTTTTTTCCCCATGATTTGCATAGCACAGTGATTTTTAGAAACACCTATGTTAAATTTTAACAGAACTGTCTGTACTGCAAAGCCCCTCTGACCTCAACAACTGTGAATACTAACTTCCCCAGGATGCCTACTGGGAAGGCAGAATGTTTCAACTTCTCTCTTTGTTGTCAAAATGATATTAATAGTTTCTTTGTGTTGTCTTCTGTGGATTGGCTGACATTATCAGACTGGGCAGTGAGTTATTCTTAAAGGGTATCTTCATCAGAAAAAGAAGCATTGATATGCAGTAAGAATAGCTGAATAATGCTATAATTTTTAAAATTAAAGCAGATTTTGAAACCTTTTAGCCTCAGTATGATTTCAGAATTAAACCTTAAAATATAAATATATATATATATATATATATATATATATAATCTTCCCTGCCTAATTACATACACTATTTTAAATACCTTTTACTTTAGTGATACATTACCTAAGCATCTCATCAAATGCTAGTTAGGGAACAGTTGATGCACTTCACATCTGATTAACCTCAAAAGAATTTGCAAATGCCCCTAATTGAACATGAAAAGTTTCAAAAAAATTTTAACAGCAAATTATTAGAATTCTATTTCTTGGAACATGATGTTACAACTTTACTAAGGCAAAGCAAACCCCACCCCCGACCAAATATACAATATCAAGTTATTTTCCTAAGAGTTAAAATGCAGTAACTATAGGGGCGCCTGGGGTGGCTCGGTCGTTAAGCATCTGCCTTCAGCTCAGGTCACGATCCTGGGGTCCTGGGATCAGGCCCGCGTAGGGCTCCCTGCTCTGCGGGGAGTCTGCTTCTCCCTCTCCCACTCCCCCTGCTTGTGTTCCTGCTCTCGCTGTCTCTCTCTCTCTGTCAAATAAATAAATAAATAAATAAATAAATAAATAAATCTTTAAAAAAAATACAATAACTATAGCTATGTAATTAAAAATCTAAAATTCAAATACTATCACTATTTAAGCCTAAAAACAAGGTAATTGTAATCCGTCTTTAGCATAAATTTCAGCATGAAACAGTGGTAATATTGAATCATTTTACATAGCCAGTTATTTACAAAAATAAAGAAACAGAAACATACCAAATCAGTCATCTAAATGCTACTACTTCAAATTAGCTATCATGTTCAGCTTTTGTTATTTAAAAGCTTGAAAGGAGCAAAGAATCATGTTAGCAGAAAATCGATTCCTCAACTTTATACTCCTGCAATAATTTACTTTGTAAAGGAAAAAATAAACATCAAAGGCTAAAGTACATAATGATCCATACTACCTCCTCCTAAAAAGAAAAGTTCCCAGTTTTTTCATTTAATACATTGCCTCAAGTCCATGAATGTTGGCCATTTCTTACGGTTAAAAGGCTTACCAGTTACAAGTTCTTCTAAAGGAATGTGAAAGTCAGCCACACTTGGCAATTTATGTATTGTGGTTTTGTGGTGAGTGCTACCATTTTCTAGGGATCAAGAAAAGCACAATAAATCTAAGACAGAATGGTAATAATTCATCAAAACATATTATATAACTAACTACCTTGGATGTATTTTCCAGTTCATATCTCATTTTTTTCCCATTAGGGCTTTAAGATGGGAGACGCAAAGTTATTTTTCAGTGCCCCCCTTTTACTGTAATTTTTGGATAATCCATGCTGAGCATAAATATCTTTAAAAGAAAACATGATATAAATAAATGATATGACAGTAAGTTCCTATTATGGGTAAGAGGGAAAAAGAGAGGATAAAAGAAAATGAAAGCACTTGGAAGGATCAGTTAGCATCTTATATCAACCATAAACATTTGTAATGAACCAGTGAACTCAATGGCATATGAAGATTATAATAATCTGGTTAAAATATTAATCTAAAATGGCATCTTAATATGAAGATTCAGAGAAAGGTATGAGAAGTTTCATCAACTAATCCCCATGCAGTTCCAAACACTTACTTGGCCCCATGTTTTTGTGGTTCCTTGCATATAACTTTGCCCATCTTCCTTCTAATGTCATGGTCCTCAACTGACTTTTCCCCAGAGTGGACTCCTGACCAGGTGCCAGATGTCTGTGTGTTATAGCATTGGGTGTGTGTCATAGCACTGGGTGTGCGTCGATTATGTTCATGAATTACACATAGTGTAAACAGGTATCAGTGATCTCTTAATAACAAAAAGTTTTAAGAACAAGTTAAACTGGCAATTTTAAAATTATACACATACACTTGATTGTAATACAACTGCGCTGAATGGAGACTGCTAAGCCTGCTAATGAAGAAAATATATAAAAATTTATTTGTAAAGAACATTTAAATTAAATATTTCATTACTATAACAGTACTCAGAACCTTAAAAAGAAATTACAGAGAATTCAAAATGAGCAAACGTGGAATTGGTAAAACAGTATTAAATTGAATCAAGTCTCTAAAAGACAACACAATGCAGTAATTTTGTTTAGTATGTGCTAGTCTTTCAAATATTACACTCTGAAACTGTTGTATACAGTGGGCTATTAGTCTTGTTATAGTAATGGTGAATGAATTTTTTTAATTAGATAGTCAAGAATAATCTCAGGGGGCGCTTGCTGGCTTAGTCGGTTAAGCGTCTGCATTCGACTCAGGTCATAATCCCAGGGTCCTGGAAACAAGTCCCACATCAGGCTCCCTGCTGAGCGGGGAGTCTGCTTCTCCCTCGCGCTCTGCCCCACCCCCCTGCTCATGTGCTCTCTCTCCCTCCCAAATAAAATCTTTAAAAAAAAGAGAATAATCTCAGAACTGTACGGAAAGTTTTATCAGCAAATTTATTATATATAAATCTATTTCACAATTCTCCAATTTAGATACTCTTAGAGAATATTCAATATTTTAAATTGTATAATGTAATTAAATAAAGAACCAGAAATCTCATCCTACAAATACTTATCCATAAATAACAAAGACTTTCCTAATAGGAAATCTGAACTGAAAAATATATAAAAGTGACGATCTACTTAACATTTTTATTATGATAACCCATTTTCTAATTTATCCTTTCTATATTTTTTCATATGTACGATATACTGCTTACTCAAGCTTTGTTGAGTGCCTGCTACTTACTCTACACTATAGTGGGTGAAAATATTAAAATTAATAAAAGCACAGTTGCCTATGTTCAAGAAATTTACATTTTAGTAGGGGAAGATAAACATTCAATAAATAAATGTAATAACTGAATTGTTACAGATATAATGTGCAGTAAACAGGGGAGACAAAGGAGGGGCCGGTCAATTTTGAGGGAAGGGGAGGATTTAAGGAAAGGATTCATTAAACAAGGGGATACCTGAGCTGGGTCTCAGAAGATAAAATGTGTTCCCTAGGTAGACAGGTGAGAGGGAAAGAGTATTTCAGGTATAGGCAGTTGCCTAGGGGAAGATTTAAAGGAGTGAAACAGCGTGGCAAGTTCAGGAAGCCATAGGTAGCTGGCTAACATTGAAGTGCAGGGAGAAAGACTCACAGACCAAGTGAGGAAAGATGAGGCTGAAGAAGTAGGGTAAGGAGGGGCATATCACACAAGATTTTAATGGCCCTCCTCTGCATCATACATGCTGCATCCCACAAGTCAGCAAAAACAACATGCCTCTTTTTCTCGATGCAGGTGATTTATCTCTGAAGTTCCAGGCCCTGCCATGCCCCAGGGGCAGGTACGTCTTCAGACAGCAACAAACACTGTGCCATTTACAGGTGTATAAGCTGCAGTGAAGGTTAAGAGGAAGAAGCACCTAAAACTTAGAAACTAAGGAAAGGCAAGAGAAACATCACAAAGAATGTTGTGCTTGACTTTAGTCATTAGGAATAATAAAGGTCTTACAGGATATCCCTGACAACTGTTTGTGTTGGGGGAAAGACCATGAAAGAACATGACAAATCTGAAGAACTATGGCTGAGTAGAGCAGAAAAATAAGATAAGGTTGAAAAGGTGGCTAATTTTCAGTGAAAACTGTACAGATTCCTAGTAACGTAGAAAATACACCTAAGAAAATTCTACTGGCCTGAACCACTTTTTGGTCACGTTCATGTCTGGGATCCACTCTACAAAAACTGCCCATGACATGCCAGGCAATGTGCTCTAAATATGCAAAGATGAATAAAACACAGCCCCTGCTTTTGAGAAGATTATACTCCAGTAGAATTCAGATTTATACTGGATTTCCCATAAGCACATATCCATTATCTCACTTTATCCTTCCCACATGTGAGGGAGAGAGGCCAATTGCTAATACCGTTCCTTTTAATGGAAGAGAATCATGGATATACACACAGTTCCCACTAAGTCAGTTGCAGATCAGTATTCTAAGCCAGCAATTCACAACTGGGGTGTCACCACCATTGCCACTGCAATCAGCTCTGAGGTGAGCTGAATGAAATCTGTTACAAATAATAAAGTGTGTGAGGTCTAGCTCTTTATCTATATAAATTAAAGCATTTAATCTAGAGACAAACACATGCTTAAAGAGGAGCATACCGTCACCTTAGTGTGTATGACTAAAAACAACCTCTGTTGAGACATGAATAAGTACATCATTGCAGAGCAATATGAAAGAATACCATGCAGCTGTTCTGGTTTTTTTAAAGTGGAGTAAGATATCCAAACAATCAAATGGAAAGACCTTTAAGACTTTAATGAATGAAAAAAGAAAGATGCAGAATCCATGTATACGGATACCCTTTGTGGTTAGGAAAGAAAAAGATAAAATAGATTAAAAAACATTATTATATGAATGCATAGGAAAGGTTCTGAAAGAACACACACTAATTGGGGGCGCCTGGTGGCTCAGTCGGTTAAGGGTCTGCCTTTGGCTCAGGTCATGATCCCAGGGTCCTGGGATAAAGTCCCATCTAGGGCTCCCTGCTGAGCGGGGAGTCTGCTTCTCCCTCTCCCTCTGTCCCTCCCCCCTGCTCATGCTCTCTCTCACTCTCTAAATAAATTAAATTAAAAAAAAAAAGCACACTAATTCTTTTGGAGCGGGGGCCAGGTAAAGGGACACATGAATGGAAGATGATCCACCATTACTTGTATTCCTACATGGGTAGGAGAGTAAGAGTAGAATAATTTGAAAGTAACTGTACTTAGCCAACTGTATATACTTCCAAATAACTTAGAGCCTATGTTATCTATGCTAAAACTGTTACTGTTATAGTTAACAGCTGCAACAATTATCACTTTTCCAGATGCTTGACAGATGAGATCTACAGTTACTTTTTTTTTTTTTTTAAGATTTTATTTACTTATTTGACAGAGAGAGACACAGCGAGAGAGGGAACACAAGCAGGGGGAGTGGGAGAGGGAGAAGCAGGGAGCCTGATGCGGGGCTCGGTTGCGGGGCTCGATCCCAGGACCCTGGGATCATGACCTGAGCCGAAGGCAGATGCTTAACGACTGAGCCACCCAGGCGCCCCTACAGTTACATTTTGATTTAAACCTTATGTATGGGCTTTGTGTTTAGGTGCATGACTATCTCTATGCTCAGTCCTGTTAAAACAAAAAAATCAGACCCCCCCTTTTTTTTTTGACCAAAGGCTAACTCAATGTCAACTAATGCTCAGCTCTCAAACTGAATAAGAAGTATTCATCCACCAATGGGATAGTTTAATTGTTTAAAAGAAAGAGGTAGGGAGTAGTAAAAAAAAAAAAAAAAAAAAAAGAGGTTTATTGTTACTTTCTTAAGAGTCCCTCAATAAACACAATACTCTTGTAGAAAGTTACCACACATAAAGGCGGACAAGAATACTTTTCTCTGAGTTTATAGTATAATCACTATGGTCCAGCATTACTGGGCCAGGTCCTGTGCTAAATGCCTAGCATGATTTCAGTTACTTCTCACATTCCCGTAATAAGGATTAAATGAGAAATTGCAGGTAAAACTCTTCACACATAGTGTCTGGTACATATAACAATAAATGTTGTCCTTAATTAGGTATTACTACTGCCTAATCTGACTTCATCAAGTCAACCCTTACTCTACCAGTCAGCTTTTCAAAAGACTCACCTACTTAAGTGCGCCAATGCTAAGAAATCTTCAATAGATTCCCATTACCTACTTACTGAAGTCCCAAGTCTTTCACCTGACATTTGAAAGCATGTATGACATAGATCCAACTTCTACCATATCCTGTACACTGTTGTCTAGACACACTGGACTGCTCACAGTTTCTAGAACATGTTATATACTTTCATTTCCATAACTGAGAAATATTCTTGCCATTCTCTCAAAAGAATAGATACTCTTCAAGGCTTGGTAGAAATGTTACCTTCCCCACAAAGTTGATTCTTTCTGGTATTCTCCAGTATGTGGTTCATACCACTATTATGGTACTTCTTTGGTATTACTTGTCCATAGGGTCACTGAAAACCAGGTTTATTCATTTCTGCATACCTACTGTACCTAGTACAGTGTTTTATACAAAAATTGCATTCAGGAATGTAGAAAAATTTCACCATTACTAATAGCCCTAGTGATAACTAAGAAGACTTGAAATTCAAATGCAGTTCTCTCTTGAATTTCCCAATTCCCCTGACAGCAGTAATGATCCTATAGTAACTCTGGCAGTAGCTCCCTTTCCAGTCCTAATTCAACACTCCATGAGATACAACCCTTTCAATACCAAACAAATCATGTGGGACATAATCAGTGACCCATTGCTGAATACACTGGCTGACATTAAATTCATTATACATTAACAATGGAGGAGAGAATTTTTAAAGCACAAGTTAGGATATTAGAATCATCTTTCAAAATCACAGTTGGGATATAAAATTCCTCTGTTCAATTCCTCTGAATTGAACTTTAAAAACAAAAGATATGGGGGGTTGCCTGGGTGGCTCAGTTGGTTAATCGTCCAACTCTTGGTTTCAGCTGGGTCATTATCTCGTGGGTCATGGGACTAAGGCCCATGTCAGGCTCCACGCTTGGTGGGGAGTCTGCTTGGAGATTCTCTCCCTCGGCCCCCCACCTCAAATAAATCTTTAGAAAAAATAAAATAAATAAAAACAAAAGGTATATATGGCTATTCACCCATTTAGTAAATAAAGTCACCTTTTATGGATTAATCCTGTTTCTAAATCTATACAAATGGGTAAAAGCAATAAAAGCCTTTAAAAGCTAACTGCCCTCTGACCTCTAACCATCCATAAGTAGTTTTTACTTCATTAAAATCTAAGGCAACAGGAAACCTCAGTTTTTGGTTGTGTTGTTATATTCCAGGACAATTCCAACTACTATGACTTTCTTATCTGATTAATTTTGAACAATTAAGTAAAAATATAGCAAATGTTAGTTATATACTTACATTTAAAATTCTTCAGGTAAAAAGTACCATATAAAAATTATCTGGTTCTGTTCAGAAATCCTATGATTTCCAATTACTGAAGAATATATTAACTCTGTGTGAAGGTGTTTGTAGTGTAGAATAGTTGAGAGAACTAGGATCATTTATTTAATTCCCTGTACTACTTATACTATATGTGAACCTCTTAAAGGAAGACAGTTTTGTTGTCATTAATGTTTACTTTTCAATGAAGACCAGAGTATTTTTTGTACATTTACAGGGCCTAACTCAATAGCATTTCAAATTTATTTTTCTTAAATCGTTTTTTCATTACTTTGCTACTACTAGCAAACAAGTTAAATTAGAAATAGTCAGGCAAAAGGTATGTTAAAGTCAAGAGTAGCTGCATGTTACCTAGATGTTAGGAATGTTACTAAACTTGAAAGCAAGAGGATCACAGATGTTGAAAGTAAAGTTTTGGTTATTATAGATGTCATAGTAAGGCAGTTATGCAGGCTAAGCTTGACTGGTGCCATGGACTTTAGCATACCTGGAAATAGAAAAATTCAAATTGTAGCTGTTCTTGGTTGGCCCATTGCCATTTTTGTAGCTTACAAATTTTTAATTAAGTAACTGCAGTGAGCTCATCTCTACTGGATACTTCTTTTCCAGGGCAGGTCCAGGAACTGGGTCTGGAGCCTTGAAAGCAGAAGAGAAACTAGAGTAAACTAGAGGTAGGCAGAATAAGAAACGTGACCAGATAACATTATGAGATCTAATAAGCAGTGAGGTAGTCCCCAGTGTGTCTCACATAAAATATGCTGAGGTGGAAAAAGGATCTCTTAAGTTCCAAGATACCAGAAGATGCTATTTACATTAGTTAGGTCATCGTCTTACTTTACCCAATTCTACTCTATAGACTCCCGGTTCCAGATACTCAAACAGTGGCCTATATGAAATCTATAATGGCTTTTTGCAACAGACTGTGCAATATGGGACCACAGAGTATAACAGGAAGAGAAAAACAACAAATCCACTTTCTCTGGTAAAATTAAAATTGTAAAGTCCTCATTTTCAGGTCATTTTGCTCTTCTCTATCTTATTTCCAATCATCTTCTAATTGCTCCCCTAATTTCCTACAATCAATTCTCAGAGGTTTCTTAAGAAATGCATCCAAGCAATGAACTGAATTTCAGGTTCCAATTTTTAAAAATACTTGGTAATTCTTAAAAGTGGGAGGCAAAGAACAGCTCATAAGATGTGGTTCGTAACCACATTGGAAATTCTTTTTTCCATTACCAAAATAGATTCAATTTTTTTTTTTTTTGGTATAAATTCGTTAGGTCCATATTAAAAAAAAAAAGAACACTGTAACTACAAAGATTACAGAAATGGTAGGATATTAGAAATAGCAGACTGTTGTACGAGGGCCTGGAAACGATGTCCTTATGCTTGGTGAATTGGCACCCATAGGAATTTCTCTAAGAAACAAATGTCATAGTCAAAATAAACTGAATGCCTCTGCTACTGTCAAATGATGGCAGACTGTGAGAACTGTAACAGGACAAAAAAAAAAAATAGTGAAGAGGAGGATTCAAAGAACTTAACTCCCTGCATTTCTTATAAATAGCAACACAACAAAGTGAAACAAAATCGAAATAGTTTTTAAGAAAAATGTAAATTTCCCATCTTTTGTGATGGCGTGTTGTCGGTGAAAACTTCTGGAAGAGACAGATCCAGGTTCAAATCTGGTTTCAGGATGGCCTTGGACTAAACTCTGAACAAATTTCTTTTCTATTAAGTGGGATACCACACCCTACCTTACTGGACTGTCAAGAGAATTAGCTAAAGTATAGAAGTACCTAACAACCTGGCACATGGTGGATATTCAATACATTTTTCTGCATTACTACAGAATGAAACACATTTTTTTATTCTAAACATATGGGTATACTTAAGTTTTCATTTTTATATATACTAAAGCAACAGCTATGTAAAAAGCTTTAGGTTTATATAACAGCATCACATCCAAAGAGATATAACTGATTTATCAACATTGATTTCAGAACAGCTATAAAGGAAATGTGTGAGAGAGCTCAAGTCAAGAGCTGATGATGAATAAAAATAAAACAATTTACTTTTAGCATATAAACAGAATCAGTGGTAAAGAAGGAGAAATGTAATTCTTCTCCCTACAAGTAAAGTAGAAAATATCTTTGTTCACACACTCTTGTTAGAAAGTTAGAGATCTGGAATATGCTATACTTTAAAAAACAAAACGATTTCCATGCATGATATAACTTGGTCTTTAAGTCAGGAAATGCTTGAAGGGCAAAGAAAAGCCTTACATTTGGGCAATAGTTTTCCTCTTACTGATAGAACTGTGGGTTCCATACAAAATTATTATTTACCAAATATGGCTCAAAGATCAGATTACACCTTCCCTAGCATTACCAAGTAATACAGCAAGTATCAAAGTAACAAGGATTTAAAAAAAAGATTTTCTTAAAGTCACTCTATTCACTGCTACAACTTTATTTCAAAACAGTTTTTAAAAGTTAACATGGTGGGGCGCCTGGGTGGCTCAGTCAGTTAAGCATCTGCCTTCGGCTCAGGTCATGATCTCCGGGTCCTGGGATCGATCCCCACATTGGGCTCCCTGCTCAGCAGGAAGTCTGCTTCTCTCTCTCTCAAATAAATAAAATCTTAAAAAAAATAGTTAACATGGAAAGTGTCTCATTCAAAACACACTACAATTTACTTAGAGATGATAAGATTAAATTCAGTCTGTGTATTCCCTAGAAGGCAAAAAAAAAAAATAGTATTTAAGAATGAGGATTCCCATTCATTAATCCATATAGATGGACTTTCAGTATTAAGACCATCAAGAAAAATACTTCAAACAATTACTGTTTTTATAACTAGCTGTCATAATGAAATCCCATTACTCACAGTAATGTAAGTAGATTAAACAGTAGTGTAAATAGATTCTGTCTTTTCCAGATATACAATGTCATCTATAAATAAATTTGCCTCCTCCCTTTCAATATTTATTTTGTTTCTTGGTCTAATTACATTGGACAGTATTCCAAAGACAATGTTATAGAATAGTTAATACTGGCCAGACCTTTTTGACTCATGACTTTTAAAAAGGAATTTAGTATTTCATCATTTCTAATAACAAAATGTGTAGACTTCTGGTCTGAGACATGCAAAATCTTACGTCTATTCATTTATTCCTGTTTCACGAAGGATTATTAGGAATAAATGTTGATCTCCCCCTTTTTGTTATCCCTCAAGATATTCATAACCCGGTTCCTCACCTACTAACATATGAATTTATCAATACAGTTCTACATTTATACATTGAATTCTACTTCATTACAGTATTATTCTGTTAATGTAACGGTAGTTTCTATTTGATAGTTTTATTAAACATTTTTTGAACCAACTTTTGTGAGATTGGTGTGTAATCTTTTATGCTATTTTATCATGTTTTGCTAGCTTTGTAAAAAGAACTGGGAATCTTACTTTTCTCTACACTCTGAAATAGTTATCTAGGGCTTGAAGTTTTAAGAATTCAATGGTAAAACCTCCTAGGTCTGGTGCTTTTTGCAGGGAAAAGACTGTTACTAGTAAGACCATCATTTTCATCTACGGCTCCAGATGCTATCCCCCTTCGTTCACATCTTGAGGAAACCCACACCTTTCTTTTCAATCTCTCCTTTCAACCTATGAACATGTTTAAGTCTTAACCATCTTAAACGTACATCCATGTATATACTCATACCACAAAGTATTTCCTTACCAGTTAAGTCTTGTCCAGCAAGTGTTTATTCACAAAGCTATTTATGAAAATAGCTACTTTATTCAAGGCACTGAGGAAAGAGAATGAGCTGTAGTTCCTGCCTCTGCCTCCTCCTCATCAACTGAGAAACACATACAGAAAACTGCAATAGCAATGTAAGGAATGAATATGCTATGCTAGGCCATCTGTCTCTTACCATTCATGCCCTGCCAAACTTCTCTATCGAGTAGTTATATACTATGGCTTCAATTTTGTTTTAATCTGCCTCCAAGTTTCCTCCCTTGATAATCGTTTTATTCAGATCATCAAATATAATAACCCTTTCAGGATCCTCATCCACCATTTTGCAGTAACTCCACAGAATATTTTAAGTTTTATTGGGTACTTTCTAATTCATCGTATCATTTGATCTTCATGAAAAACCACTGAGAAGGCTAGGTAGTTATTACTCTTACTCTGCAAGGTTCAGAAAATTAAGTAATATACTAATTATCAAAAACTTCAATCTGTGTCAGATTGAAGGCCAGATATGTATTTGTGGCTTTCTAATTTCTGGTCCAGAGTTCCCTCCTCTATGTTGTATTAACTTGATTGACTGATTACTAACTTGAATGATTACTGATCATTCTTTTCTTGAAAATTTTTTCTGGTCAACAGTGTACACATTCTTCTAGTTTCCTAGGATTGTTATTTCTAGGCTTCTTAACGTTTGTCAAAGGATGCAGGTGCAGTGGGACACTCATCCCCGCTTGTCTTCCTCAGGCATCTCAGCTGCACTGACAGCAGAATTGAAGGAGAATCTCCTTTAAGTTCTAGTTCAATCTTTTTCTTCTACTTGATGAAACCTAAACATTCAGAATTGCACTGACAGCAGAATTGAAGGAGAATCTCCTTTAAGTTCTAGTTCAATCTTTCTCTTCTACTTGATGAAACCTAAACATTCAGAACTGCACTGACAGCAGAATTGAAGGAGAATTTCCTTTAAGTTCTAGTTTAATCTTTCTCTTCTACTTGATGAAACCTAAACATTCAGAATCGTAGAGATTGACGATGAAAGGAGCCTTATGTGTTATCTAGTCCAACATCCTTATTTAATAAAAACATGAAGTTCGAATTATCTAAGTCAGTAGCAGAATCTGAATAAAGGTTGAAGACAAAATTTGCTTTTTAAAACTATGAACCATAAAGTAAATGTATATATTTATATACAATAGATATAAAGTAAACTAATTTTAAGAGTAATTATTGAACCTTATTTCATTTTTGTTAAAGACTTCTGTCCCTATTTCTAAGAGATTTTACTTACATAACAATAATGAGTCCATTTATCAAAGTAGATTTAAAAAAAAAATCACAGAATGGCCATAGTTACACAACCTACTCAATTCTACATATTCATGAATTATCCATATTCTAGACTTTTAAAGTGAACTGGGAATCAAAATCATACCTCTGCCTATGCTAATGCTTCCCTCCTACTTGCAGTCATGACCCAATCTACAAGGAAGAAAGATACCACTAGGCTGCTTGCTGTAGAGCATTTAGAACAGAGCCAGGCATGTGGAAAGCATTCAAACAAAACATGTCCGCTACCACCACTGCTGCAACAGTTACTACTACTGTATATAGTCACATCATTATAAACATGGCCATAGCAACGATTCAACCACATGGACAAGAATCCTATTGGGGTACAAGTACCTCACTCTACTTCTTTTGGTCTATTTTCCAGGTTTTGTTTTGGTGAGCAGGGCCACAACCCTTAAATATCTAGGAACACCTCTTCAACCACTCTCAGCCTTGAAGTACTTTCATGTCTCAACACCAGAGTCATAGGCTGTGAAAATTAAGAGATCATTTTAAAAGGAAATTTTATATTCCACTTGTAAGC